GGCCAGCCGACGTGCCTTCCCCGAGAGCCGGCCCTGCGCCGGCCGGGCGCTCGCGCAATGAACCAGAGCCCGGTGTTCGCGCCCCGCAGGGGCGGCTCTCCCCGGCGGGCGGCTGGAGCCGGCGCGCGGCGCAACGAGAGCCAGGACTACCTGCTCTTGGACTCGGAGCCCGGAGAGGACTGCTGCCCTCAGCCCCCGCGGCCGGCCTACGGCTACTACCCCTGCCTGTGAGTGCGGGCGCCGCGGGCGGGGGGTGCCGGCGGGAGGGGGGAGCCGGGGCCGCGCGCGTCCGGACACCCGTGTCCCTCCCTGGGCCGTGCGAGCCTGGGTTGGGCCCCGAGCGAGCGGAGGGGCGCGCGCGTCTAGGTTTTGTCCCTGGTGAGCACACACGGGTATGTTGGCCCGGGAGAGCGTGACCTCGGGGTTCCGACTCCGCGAAGGATGGGCAGGTGTCGGTCTCGAGCCGCAGCAGCTCCGTCCGCTCAGACCCCTTGGCGCTGCGCCGAAGGCACGGGCTGGGCCGCGAAACTCGGGGTCTAAGGGAGAGAGGCTACCCGGCTCAGGGTCCCCGGCGCGCCCCGCGTCCGCGCGCGCCGCTGCCCCTGCCCTCCGCCGGGCGCGCTCGGGCCCTCCCGCTGCCAGACCCCGCACAAGTTCGCAGGTGTCAGTGGAGGGGCGAGCTTGCCCGGCGCGCCCGGCCCCCAGGTCGCCGGGTTAGGTCGGGGACAGGGAAGCGCGGGAGGCTTTCCCACCCTGAGCGCCAGGCGTTCCCCGAGGGCGCCCAGGGGGTGCGGGGCGGGAGACTCGTCCGTTGTGGAGGCGAGGGGGTCGAGGGCGTTTGCGGGGAACCCAGAGCGACTACGGGATTTTATTTAAGAATCTGGAGGGGTTTTTCTGCGAGGGAGGTTGGGGGTTGGCGGGGGCGGGCAGGGGGTGGAATGAGGGAGAAGCCTTCCATCCCGCACATGCCGGGGAGCTCAGGGGCGGCTGGCGGACAGCCTCTCTGCCTCTTTGTCACTTCCCTCGATTGGGTAGTGTGGGTTCCTGACGTTCTTTCCGCACGCGGTTTCCCGAGGAAAGCAGCTCTGGAGTACGTGGTGGGGGTGCTGGGGACGCTCAGCTCCCCAGTCCATCCCCCCTGCCGGCTCCTGCAAACCCTTGGTCAGGTCTGCCCAGCGTCAAGGACTGGTGTGTTCCCTTTCTCAGGAAGAGGTGAGCCCCAGGAAATGGTGCATCTAATTTTTTCCCAAGATAGAAAAAAGTTGGAACTGGTTCCATTCATCTTTGTGCTGTACAATTTGAAAGTATTTACTATTATCTTTTCTTTCTTTCTCAAAAATTAAGATATATATCACATACCATAGAGTTCACCCATTTACATTGTACATATCAGTAGTTAATATATCCCCGGAGGTGTGAAAAAATCATCACTAATTCCATGACATTTTCATCATCCACAAAAGAATCTTGTACTTGACATTGAATTAGAAAATATTTCTATGTCTTATAGCACAGTGCTTCTCAAACCTTAATGGGCGGACGAATTACCCCGGAATCTTGTTAAAATGCAGATTCTGATGCAGTAGGGCCCAGGTGCAGCCCAAGATTCTGTGTATCTAATGATCTCTGAGATGCTGCTAGTCCATGGACCACACCCTGAGGAGCAAGGAGATACATGCCAAGAACAACAGACGAGAAGAAAAACAAATCAATCCTGGATATTCTGAATACAGCTATTTTCAAACGTGCTTTGAGGGTATATGTTTAAAACATAAGTGGATTTTTTTTTTTTTTTTGCCTTAGACGAGACCCACTAAGCCTGAGGGTTAGATATTTGATAATGTCACCTGCAGCTACTTAAGCAACTTTAAAAAGCTACACTGCTTTTTAACAATCAGGCTGTCCTGTAGAGAAAATTTTAAATTTTTTTCACCTGATCGTCCTATAATTTGTTACCGTGTGAGAAAAATAATTTTGATTTTAAAAACTTGTGTTTGTAAATTAGGAGTGAGAGAGACTAAGTGAAGTAATAATTCGAAATTGTCTTGTAAACTTTTCCCAGTGCTTTCTTCGAATGTGACCCACCGCCTTATTGATTTATCCACTTCTTAACATTACCTGCTCTCTAAAGAATAAGCATTCTCCTCTCTTACTTCAGGAATCTCAGACCATTCTAAATGTGTAGACCAGGACAGCAGAGAGATGACAGAAATATTTTAATGTGCTTCTGTTCATAATGAACACTCCTGTATCATGTCAAAGATACTATAATTAATTACAGGATGAACCATATTCTAGAATAAGAGTTTGTTTTGTCTAAATCTATTATTTCCATAAGATTCTATAGTTAGTTTTCATCACTGCTTACTCTGGTGAGGTTTTTTATTTTTTCCAGTTGAATAATCAAGTACAGTCTTTAGACAGGTCAACAACAGTACTTCACACCTATGATGTACGAGACGGAACTGAAGAAAATCCCTTCCTTCTGGTAGAGAGTACAAAAAAGCCCTTCCTTACGCTTTTGACTTGTGATGTAAGCAATGTCATGTATTTTCCTAGAGTGGGAGGTGAATTACTTGTGGAAATGGCACACCGGAGATGTGGACATCACCATTTCCTCAAATCATTGAGATTTTTCCCTTAGAAGATCACAAATTATAGCAAGTTGTCATTTCTGTAGGATAAATTCTGTAACTTTTGCTAAAAAATTCTGTTTCGTAGTTTTCGTATGTGGAAAGATTTTTATGTTGTTTATATCATGGGGCTTTTACTACTGAAAATTGTGGCAAATCTTCTTGAGAGCAGTTGCATATATTCAGGTCTTAATAGTGTTTAAGCGGTAACGTTCGAAATAGTGTTTAGGAAAAAAAGATTCCCTTTCTCTTTCCTACTTTTAGTCAGAAATCAGTTAAAACACTCTCTTTTGATCAGTTGGTGATGGTGATTAGCAAGAAGTGGTCTAAGTCCTCCCCGGGTCCCAGGAGGTATGTCAGAGAGTTACTTCACTTAGAAGTTAAAAGTTTGTCTCTAGTCTATTACTTTTGAACATGGGGAAGAATCCTGGATGTAAAAAATAATGTGGAGGGTTTCTAACTACTCAAGATCTGAAATACAGTTCCATCAACCTTCTGCTTGGGAAGGACTAATTGATTAAGCTCTTGCAATGCAGTAGACTAAGATAATCTAAAAAAAATTTATGGTTACAGATACCTCGTAAAACTGGATAAAATATTTAAAATGATTTCAAAACATTAACTAATTTTGCAATCAGTGAATCAGTGAAAAAGGATTATTACCATGTGCCTGAAGCAAAGCAATTAAAAGTGAGTATAGCCTGTGTTGAACTGAGCTGTGGCTGCTTCATGGGTTATGCATTTGCATGAACACGGTGGTTGGAGTCGAATGTCTGCATGGGACAGATGACGCTAAGGCCTTGGTTCCCGATGAGCCATGGAGCTGGGACTAAGACATGCCTGCCCCCTGCATAAGACCAGGACCTTTCCTTTAATGAAAAGTTAGGCTGGAAAAATGCCACCAGCAATGAGTGAGAATAAGAAACCCGATTAGTAAGAGAAAAAGAAATCCTTGGCTAAGAATTGTATTCTTTGCTCCTGTGTCATGTGAGTTTTTGTTTTTGCACTTGTTTTTTACACCACTTTCTGACCTAGAAATCTTCATGTCAGAAAATACCCTTGGGGATCCTCGAAGAGTAAAGCACAAAGCCATCCCTAAGCTATAGTACCAGTAATCTAGACTGCCAAGGATTTTCAAGGAAACAGCAAGCCCGCTGAAGAAATGCTCACTCTAATACATGACCGGATGCACAAGGAAATGATCAATCACGAATGAGAGTGAGCAGATGATATAATCCCTGGGGAGAGTCAGCAGAAGACACAACAGCAGTTTTTAAACACTTGACATAATAGAACAACATGAAAGAGAATGTAAAATGGGCATGTATAAAATGTCGACAATATATAACAAATCAGACCCCAAGAAAATAAAAGACTAATTTTTTAAAGACAGAAAAATCTATAAATGAAAAATAAAATTTTGAAATAACTCAATGGGAGGGTTAAAATGCAGATTAACCATACCATAATTGATGATAATACCCAGAGTGCATAGACATAAGTAAATGAAAAATATGAATATTATTGAGTTATGGAACAAGAAGATAGGAGTCCCAGAAGGAGAGAACACAGACAACAAGGGAGACACAACGTTTGAATAGATAATGGGTGATGATTTTCCAGAGATGGTGAATTCTCATGTTTATGAAGTACAACAATATTAGTGCAAACCAGAAAAATAAACCCCTTTAAACATATGTTGAAATTGCAGAACATTAAAGACAAGGGGAGATATTTAAAATGAACCAAGATACGAGTGACTTGAATAAGTTCTAAAATAAAAATATGTACAATGGAAATGTACTCACAATGTATCTTGATACCTGTTACATAATGTGTAGCTTGTAAGCGCTGTGGTTTTTCTTTTACATAAAAGAAATTATTAATGTAATGTTTTATACAAAGTCGGTGTTCCATTGCTGATAGGATCTCTTTGAATATGGACAAAAAGGGATTTGTATGTAGTAGTTTAGATGTCAGAGAGGACCTTAGTATTCATTACGACCTTTGAAAAAATAGTGTCTATAACCATGAAGCAAAGACCTGGACTTTGATTAAGGGTTTGCAGTTTGGAAGCTGCTAGTAGCGGAAAAGCAAATGTGAAAACCACCTTTGCATTTGCTTCCCCTTCTTCATTTGTGAATCAACATCTGCCCCAGTCTCTTGGGTTTACGGTGGGTCTCTTCTTTGGAGGTCTGTTCTGCATGACAGAAACTACCCATTTTGTTTCCAAACCTCCCCTGGCTTGAAGTACTCAACATCTGCTGATAACAAATTATTATCATGAACACTTTTTTTAGGGGGTGATCTTTGCAGGTTGTGGAGTTACTGGTAGATGTGCTGAAAGGCCCGTATTTGTAACAGAATGTTTATCTCTAGGAAGACATTGCATTTTTTTTTTCTAGACAGTTATGTTCCTTGTGTTACAAGAAGTAACTTCATGGGGCACCTGGGTGGCTCAGTCGGTTGAGCGTCTGCCTTCGGCTCAGGTCATGATCCCAAGGTCCTGGGATCGAGCCCCACATCGGGCTCCCTGCTCGGCAGGAAGTCTGCTTCTCCCTCTCCCGCTCCCCCTTGCTTGTGTTCCCTCTCTT